TTAACGTGGCTGGTTACAGTCACAGCCTTCAAGAAATTCCGATAGGTTCGCTACAAGAATTTTTTTTCTATCGCGAGAACTAAAAGGAATTTCAAAGTATTTCAACATGTCCTTGAGCATAGCAACGCTAAATGTTTCAAGTTTCTTCTCGTGTGAAAGGTCACATAAACAGTATGAATCATAGCAGATCGGATGCTTAGGATCAAGGTGGGTGGCTACCTCTTCCAGGGTGGCTCGTCTTTCCTGCTCTTCCTGTTCCGCCTCTACGTCTTCATTGAGCGCTTCCCGATGTGCTTTGCTTCTTCGCGAGGCCGCTAGCCTCGAAAAAAATCCCTGTACTTGACCCTTTGTGAGCCAATGTTTCCTCTCAAACATCCGAGAACTGTCTGGGTTTCTTGCAGTTCGCATATCTACTGCCACTTTTGCGGGATCTGACTTGATGCCAGTTCTTTCTCCAAGATCAAATTTCGTTGTTAGGTACTGTTTAACCTCGGTAGGAAAACGCACAGCTTCGTTTCGGGGTTTGTGTAGAGCCCATCCAGTCTGCAAGTCACTGCACTCGGGAGAGCGGCCAGTTTTATTCTTTTCGTGATGCTCCTCTACAACTGCTTCAGGCACGCTTCTGATTTCTTCGTCCTTATCAACAGCACGAAATTTCTCCGCCCAGTCTCTTCTGAGCTTGTCATACACCGTATCAGAGTTTCCGCGAACTTGGCTGTGCTCACCAACATCAAGGTGATTTTCGAGTTCACTGAATTTCTTGAAAACCATGTTGCACCCGGGCTCAGCACAAGAGAAAATAACGTTGCATTGTTCATTTTCACTGTTTGTCTCTCTCTTATATACTCGAACTTCTTTGAGAGGAAAGAAGTTATCATGCACAATGAGACCAGTAGGACCTTGAGGTTCAGTTATGACCCCTAGGTAAGGAATAAACTTGCCTAGTCCAACACCATAAGCTCTCCATGTTCTAATTCCTTTCACTTCAAACTTGAAATTGTGATACTTGCTGAAACCTTCTATCTTATGTACTTCGAGTGTCTTTTGAGTCTCATTCATTGCGCACACGGAGGCAGTTGTACCTTGAACAGGACGTTCTGAAAGCGCTACACGCATGTCATTCGCAGAAACGACATCGTGTCCTTCATTGCAATATCGTCGGATGGATGACTTCATTGGACAAAGGATTCTATCACAGATATCTTTTCCATACTGCGGCTCGGAAAAATCATACCGTGCTACTTCAATGCCTACTCGTCTTCCGGCATCTCTAGCGGCGGCTAAGAGAAAGTTATTGTGGTAACAGCCTGCTTCGTCACTCCTTAGGTTCACTTGGGTAATCTGGGGATGTTCTTTCTTTACAACCTCAAGTGTGTTTTCGATGATCGAGCATACTGCGTACCAGTCTTGCTGGCAAGAGTCGAAGATATGAGCATACGAATGCAGCTCAATTTTTCCAGAGTCAACATTCTTAGTTATAAAGGTGGAAATATGCCAGCTGAGCCCCCGTTTGCCGAACCATTCAGACTGTTTCTCACGAAATTTTATTTGGAGGAACTTCATGGCCCAGTCCATGATCAGAATGGCTGACTGTGGGTCTTCTGATCTCAGTGCATCTTGTTTCGCCTCCTCCTGATTTATTGAGCGTACAATGTGCGCTTTCCACAGCAAGATGTCTGACTGCGCACGGTCAAAGTCGTAAAGGACATCTTCTCGTTGTTCGCAACTGTAAGGCTTCCATGATGACCCTTCAATCGCTAGTCTCACTTCCTTTAGAACATCCTTCAGCCCTTGGCATTGCTCGCAAGTCGATTGATGCTGATGCGGACAAGGATGCTGGAGCTCGGGATCAACAGGATCACTAAGCGCAAAATTTCTACAGTGGTCAGCGCAAGTAGAGTAATGCTGTTGATAGTGTACACGGTAGTCAGTTTTGAGATAGCGTTTAGCATCGCGTAGGTTTTGGCAAATACGTAAACACCAATGTTTCTCCATTCCTCCCTTCTCAAGAGTTTCAACCAGCGTCTCAATAGTCTGAAAGCCCGCAGCACCATCTGCAGCCGTATTGTCCAATCCCTGGAGCGATTTACGCTTAGACGCTTCTCGAACCTCCAATATTTTAAACAGAGAACTAAGTGGCTCGTGACTACTAAGTGGCTCGTGACATTGCTCTTTGCAATACTCCAAGTATTGCTCAATCATTGTAGACCTTGTCAGGATCCTTACAACGTTAGGCATCTCAATTCTGTCACCATTATGTAGGGTGAGTACCTTCTTACCATATGAAACATCCTGATAAAAGTACGGTCTATTAATGAATCCTACAAAGTGGTCGACCTTCCCCATATCAAGGCGTACGTGATACTTCGTCTTGATTTCAGGGATGGTCCCAGGACCGTGCATTTTAGCATGAGAACGTGCTTGCTTTATTTCCCATGTAGAGAGACTTCCGTAAGGTTGGTGAATTTTCTTCAGTTTGGTCATAGGGTATCTTTGAGCGTAAAGGCTCAGAATCTGTTTCTTTAAATTCCTGGTCTTTTCGTTCTTATAAGTAGTCATGAGTACCACAAGATCATCGGGGACTGCGCCATCAAATAATTCTCTTTGTACAGACATCATTGACTCGAAGAGCTCCTCTCCGTTACCTGGGGCAATTACATTACATACGTGCAAGCAGTCCTCTTTAGCCTTTTTTACAAATTTCAGCTGTTCCCTGTCACTTAAGTTTTGGATTGGAGTTTTAAGCTGATATTTAAGAGGCTCGCGTTCTACTTGTTCTTGTGTAGTAAGACTCGCAATTGTATCCATCGCCTCGTTATACCTGCCGACTGCATCGGTTACCACGGGTGAAGTTAAAGAGGCCTCCTCTGACCCTGCATGGAGTCCAGCATGGTGTTATGGGATTCCAGGAAGCTGGCGTTGATTGGTCTTCAAGAAATGGAGTTGAAGTGACCATGCGACCGATGGCTCCCACAGCAGCCTCTTTAGCAGGTCTGCGGAGAATAAAAATGGAAAGGTTGCTACTTAGTTGCCTTGCGATAGGATAACCTGACAGGACAACCGTGTGGGTGTTTTTTATAAAACAACAACCAAACGACTACCCTCCCGACAGTACCTTTGAAGGAGCACATCTCCCTCAGCTTCCTCAGGGTATAGCCAGTCTGATTTCCGATCTACTTCTTCACTGTGTTTCTTTCTGCACGTTGCGCAAATAGCTACTAAGTTGATAGTAGAAGCTATATCTTTATATCCCATCTTGGAAATTATGTTATATAGGCTATAAATCAGCGACCGAATTTATGGATGACGCACAGCAAAGAACTATTGCTGTAATGAACTACAAAAACCAAATTATGATCATTTGATATGTTATTTTTCTGGAAATGATTTTCTGGCTGCAAAATACTATCAAATACGGGATCGATCGTTTATCGTTCAGAAAATATATAGAATGGGACTTCCCCTCAGTCTACAGCTCGCTTTTAAGTAATTACGAACGAAAGTATTTAGTTGAAATGTTAAGGAAGACAAAACCCTTTAATTCTGATACGTTAATTACAAAATGAAAGCATAAAACAGTTATAGTTGCTAGTCTGATAGTACTTACGTGAGCCAACGGGAACGGCTTCTCCAAAGATATTTTTTATCTACTTTGCAGTCTTGAAATTAATAACATGTGTTCCGGCTATTGCCATTTTCTTCCCGTGATGTTTTGGATACTGGCAGGTCTTTGGAGCTTGCCAGTATTTTCCCAAAGTGTAACGATGGACTGGACAAACCGTCATATTCTTGATCTGATCATCAGTGAGTTCTAACAACCTGCCCTTGCCAGTATCAGATCCATTTCACAAACATTTTCCCTTGACAGGTGGTGATTCATTAGGTGTGAACTAATGTCAGCGTTGCAACTATTCAAGCACACAAAATCGACACATCCTCGATTACTTCCGCATTTTCCGCCTGTTAATGCGGAAAAAGAACAAAATGCAGCCATTCTATCTGCGAAGGTTATCTCGGCACACTGACGCTCTACGTTTTGTGTTGCAAATTTGCATACGATATTAAATTAAGTGAACGACGCCAGGAAAATTAACTTAAATTGGATTAAAAACTTGAAGAAATTTTTAGTAAACCAGCAAAACATTTTTATTCTTAAAAGTAGCCAGTTTTTTTGTACCTTGTTTATTTTACCTCGTTAAGCCTGATAAGTAGTTTCAGCTTCGACAAAATAACATCCAACATGTTTTGCACTGCAAACTGAAATCTGAAATTGACATCCTCAGACACAGTATAAACGATGTCGTCTGCACGCAAGAACTTGTGGCTAGAAAATTCGGTACATTTTGGTAAACTATTTCTTTGCTGGATCGTGTCATAACTTTTGAGGTGGTAATTACACGGTAAATCTATTCACAATGTGTTTTAGATTTTTTTACCGTTCTAACCCCTTTATTTCAACGAAATTTCTTTACTGTTTAGCCACAACTTGACATAGCAACATTCACCGGAGCTGCTACGTTTTTTTGGAACATCCCAATTTTAATTTAGGACAATATGTAGTGGATTTTAAGATATTCACTGTTTGACCCCAGCATTAAGTTAGTTTTAAAAATAGTTGCTCCCTAACAGTAATGATTTTTAGTTTTATAGTAGGAAAGTTGGGAATCAAGAAAATGCGTAAATTACGTCATACGCACAATTACAGTAGATTGTTACCCAACTTTATCGAACTCTTGTGCTTCGGAATCAACAGTGCCCAAAAATGTTTTTCTTGATTTCGATACACTAGCCCTATTACTGAACAGGGATAGTGACCAAGACTACAGATAACGTCAGACTTTTAAAAAAAGCTCATTTCAAAACTAGGATAACCGCGCATTTTTTTCAAGGACGCTTTACGTGGTATTTTCAAAACATCATAATTCCTTTTTTGGGGAGTCAGAATTTAAATATTTTACCTTGTTTGAATAAAGGAAGCATGAATTAAAATCATGCTTTTGTTTTATGCTATTTGGATAAATGCGAAATTTTTGCGAGCCTTGAACAAAACGCTTAAATTTGACCTTAAAAAAGACGATCATGACAGCTTTGGGCCGTCCAGGCGAATCGCCGCCCAATTTTTTTTTTTAAAAAAGCACTATGAGCCAAACAAATTCGGTATTTGTTAATGGAATGGGCTAATTATGTCGCAGAAAAAAAATGAAGGAATTCTGTTTCCCACGGAAATTCGAGTGGTCGGTCCTTACACGGACCGCCTCTTAATGTTTGATGTTTACAATAACACTGCCCCTCATAATATTTCACATCTCTTTATTCCTACTCAACAAATCCACTCTTACAGTACTCGCTCCTCCTCTTCTGGAAATTATTACATTAGCCACTCTAGACTAAATCAGAAAAATGATTCGTTTTCTATTATGGGAGCCAAAATTTGGAATAGTATACCTGAAAATTTACGAAATTCTTCAAAATCTCTCTTTAAGGAAAAAGTTCATACAATTCTATTGAAAATATTTGAAGTTCAGGATAGATATGCTGACCTAAACACGATAATCTCCGATTTTAAAAATATTAGCCCCCGCTTATCTAAATAGCTGCCTCGATTTTCTTATCTCAATTTCTCTCGTGACTGACCTTTTTTATTATAAATATGGTACTTTTTCACTTCAACTATTCGTAATAAATCTTAAGCCGTCTACACACCACCTGCCTCGATTAGCCTTGCTATTTGCAGGTGGTGTGATATTTGTATATTTAATGTAAGAAATAAAGATGTTGTTGTTGTTGTTGTTGTTAAAAAAGACCAAAGCCCAAAACAAAGCTTGACGTCTCTCAACTTCTCTAACTCCTAATTTTCTAACATGAATCTCCATTTTCACGAGAGGGTCAAAAAAAGCAAAGTTCCACTCTGTTAAGATAACATAGATAGGAAGCATGACAATTCCTGTAACAAATAAGAGTTGCGACAGATGGTTGGCCTGCGGAAGGAATTGAGTGTAAGGCAAACTATAACAAAAGGAACAAAATTGATGCAAAATTAAAAAATTCTGCCAATGTGATTAATTTTTGCTGTGATAAGGTTGCAATGCTTCCGATGCCTCTAAAGGTACAGGTAACATTATGCTTGTCAGTGAATGGCTAAAGTATTTTGACAGAAAATTATATGCTTCTGATTTTGACTGGTAGTCCCAGAAAGTGACATGGAAAGCTAGGCCACTCCCACCTACACTGGCAGCACAACGTCATCAACTGTATGATGTGGTAAAAGCTCTATAGGCCCCATCCTACCTCCAACCTATCACTGATTACAGCCTCTATTTCTTTAAGACTAGATTTCTAACCTGATCCCCCTTAGTATTTATTACATCCTGCACAACTTACCTTGAAAGTCATTCCTTTTGCAGGAAATGTCATCAAACCAATGCAATAACATTTTGCCAGTTTGTGGAAGTTTATCAATCAAAAAACTACCTTTTCCCTAATTTTCCCCTTGTTATTGAGATAAACAAATACCCTTTCTTGGCCCCCCTCCTAATGGTTTTCCCTCCTCCCCAACCTCTAACTCCTCCAACCCTCCATAAAAGGTAGATAGGGGCTTAATAATTGAGCGTTTACGGTTTTAGGTATGCAAAAAATCTATCAAATATGTTACCAAACCCACCCGGCAACAACTATTCCTTTTTATTATATACATACTGAGAAATAGTCACCAAAAAGCTATGTTGTAAATTTTCGTACGCAAATTAGTTCTAGCCAATCAGAGGAGCGAACGATGGTTTTCACACGTGAAAAAAATGACACGTCCAATCAGAATCGCGAACGATGTTTTTTCACGTGTGAGAAAAATGATCCGTCCAATCAGAAGCCACAGAGGTGTGTTAGTTTCGCGCCAAAATTCCCGCCTTTTATTGCAGCTTGCAGCGCCGCTTCGCACACATTCAACGGGAAAAGTTTTACTCAAAGAGTTTTTCTCGCTAAAAAAGTGAAAAACATTTCGGAAATGGAGTGGAATAGTTTCGTTTGTTTCACTGTCGATAAAGAGAACGGTAGAGAACCGGGGGAAAGGGAAAAACAGAACGAGAAGTAAGCTTTTGTTGTGCTTTTTGTCGGAGCTATTTTGCCTTTCATTTTAGCTTAATCTTATATTGAAACCGGCCATTTTACTTAAATTCACTCATTTTCAATTGTGCATTTAGAACAAACAGTTAAGATTACTTATAGTTCTTGGATTACCTCATATCCTTACCGTCATTTATGTCTTTAACAAACGTTTTTGCTAAAAAGCTGATACTTCGTTTTCGTTGTCATTTTGCGGTAAGTGTGTAGCGGCAAATTTTAGCATTTTTGAAAGATTTAAAATAAAAAGGCCGCCAAAATGATGAATGTCTCAATATGTATATAATAAACACAATACCACATGGAAAGTGCTGGCGTACGGTATTTACGCACTCGTTGTTTTTGTATCAGAAATCTTACTCGTTCGCTGCGCTCACTCGTTCGATTTCTGACAACGTCAACAACTCGTGCGTAAATACCGTACGCCAGCACTTTCCATGAAGTATTCTCTATATATTAAATATTATTATAATATCATGATCACTATTATTTTAGCAAGATTTCCTTTGAGCAGTGAAGTACGAGGTCTTAGGGTGGTACTTTATGAATTTTTGGGTGGGGATGTGTCACTGGGGCTTTGGAACCCTTAGCTCATACCAAAAGTAGTTCAGCTCAATTTTGCTATTCTTTACTAAACCAACCTGGTCTTAAATTATTTTTTGAAACAATTTATCTATATCCAGTAAGCAGAT